TGACATTCTGACATGGTTATTATTAGATGTTCCTAAGTTTGGAGCAGCCTAATAATAACCAAAAATGTAAAATGTTAATCAAGCAGTCATAGTGACTGCTTGATATAAACTGATAAAAAAAAAGTGTAAAAAAATATTAGGAAAATAAAAATTATATATAAATATATTTTTTTACACTATAATTATGAAAACATTTAACAAAATAATAATAATCAAAACTGGTGAAAAAAGTGTTTTCTTTACGTTTTTTTCCTCATTTTTTTTATATTTTATTCAAACTAAGTGAGGCATTAGGTACACATGTTTTGATATTGATATAGCCCTATCTGTCCTCTAAAAAACAATATATAATATGTGTGGGTACATTTAGTAAGAAAGTATATTTATTTATGAACAGAAACTGAAAAAAAGCTCAATCATGAAGGGGTTAAAAAAGGAAAAACAATTCAAGCAAGCATTTAAAATACTTTTATTTTTCGGTGACATTATCTGCAACAGGGTCTCTTTGGAAAAAAAAAATTCAGAAACACGTATTAAACTTTAATAAAAATAGCAAGCTGCATTTGTTACTGTTAACAAGCAGTGAAAAAAGCAACACAAATGCTAAGCATTCATTTTTCCAACATGAGGGCAGCCGTAAAACGGATCCAGCAGCAGCAGTAAGTTACAAAAGCCCACCCAAGAACAGGCCGTGGACCTCCACTGGTTGAGGATCTACAATTCTCAGCATGCTCTGCCAGCTTCTTGATTACTGGACAGCAAGAGTAACAAAGCAGGAAGAATATGTGTGGTTTATGTTGGCAACCCTGGTAATTGGAAGGCTGTTTTGTGTGCAGGACCAGGTCAGAACTGAGAGAGGTAGAGAGACACCAGAGGCAGGAGGACAGCGGTGCCAAGGGACATCACATTAGTGAAGGCAGAGTTGCAGAGGTCTGTTTGACAACAGCTTCGCTTGATTCCTTGGTGACCAGGAACAGGAAAATCCACGTTACACAGATCACTGGTTGAGCAGGATTTAGCCTGGAACTTTACATTGCCTGTATAAAAAGAGAGAGAAACAAGTCAAGACACTCTGAACGTGAAAGATAACGCAACTGATACCTGAGTCCGCAAACAAGGACCATACTTGTCATGTGAAGAGTTGAGAATCCTGGCTTAGGTGGTGCTCTCTAGTGGTATGTAAAATGAGGGTGTTACCTACCTTGTGCTGTTATGACCATTGAGGAAACATCAGACACAGAGAGTAGTAGTAAGTCACATTCATTTGGAATTGTTTTCTATCTTTAAAGATGTTTTCCAAACTCCAGTCTCTATAGCCACATGGGCACCTCATTCTCCCTAATCTAGTCATCATGGTGTCATGAAATGTGTGGATTTTGATTGTCCAAGAACATGGCGGGAGGCGTAAAAGGGAAAGAACACCCTGTTTCAATACAACAAAGCTAATAGTACACCTTATCAGCAACTGTACAGCAGGAAAAACACAGGGAAACGCACAGTCAGATTTTATAACAATGTAAGGGGGTCCTTTTTTTTTTACTGACACCAATGTAAGGGGTCCTTGTCCCACGTTTACAACTATTTGTAATGTAAAATGGAGTCACAACAATGTAAAGTAGCATTTCTCCTACAGGGGAACCTTTACTGAGAACTATTGTAATGAGGCCCTTCTCCACTGACCACCAATGTAAGGGAGTTTTCCTCCCACTGACCACCAGTTCAAGGAGTGAGGGGGGACTCTCCACTGATGCCAATGTAAATTGGTCCTTCTACTAACCACCAATGTAAGGGGGCTCCTTCACTGATCACTGATGCAAGGTGGCCATGCTATCAATGACAGCAATGTAGAGGGGTCCTTCTCTCACTGACACAGATTTTGTTTTGTTTTTTATTAAAGCCCACGGTGCGTGCCATCGAACAAAAGTGAACAAAAAAGTGCAAGGCAAGCTCGGTGCAAGGCGGGGACCAGCATGGGGGCTCTGTGACAGGGGTACACGATCTCCCTCCGGTTCTCTCTACAGTGTCAGAATGCGGAAATGATGTATAATCCATAACTTCTGCATTCTTGTGTCACTCTCCAGCTTCATCACCTTCTTTGGGGGTTCTTGGTGACATTAGGGGTCTTGGAGACCCCTGATGTCTCCATAAAGAGGACCTCGACAATACAAAATCACCTGCAATCCATACAGTGTACAGACCTTGATGAAAGGTTGGTGCTTGAAGTGACAACACGGATGGCGCCGTGTCAGAAACAGTCTATAATAGAAGTCTCCAGCACTCGATGATGTGTGCAAGAAGTAAAGCACTTTTTATTAAATTGTCACATGCGTCATACAGCCAACGTTTCGGGGCCACGCAGGGTCCCTTCTTCTGGGCGACAGTGACCGCTCATTACACCACACATGTTACATATCGCCGCGAACGTCGCACTGAAAGCAATCATTTTAAGGCCATTAATCACCGATAACACTAAACTGATGAGCGATAAAAGCTTTTAACCCCTTCGTGACGAGAGACGTACACTGTACGTCCCGGCACTTTGTGCCTATATGACTGGCCACGTACACTGTACGTGACGAGTTATATTAGGCTCTGTAATGCCGGTAACTGCTGATTCTCATCGGTTACCAGTCATTAATGTGTAGCCCTATTGTGGTGTCAGGTTCTTTAACCCCTTCATGACAGCTAGTTTTTAGTTTCTGTTCCTAAATGACTGACACACTTTTTACATTTTTGCTGTGTGATTCTTCCACAGCAGCAAGTTTTGATTATTATTATTTTTAGAATTTTTTTAATAATAATTATAGTATACAAAT